TATTTACAATAAAATATCACACAGCGTCGTATAATAACAATTTATTTTTGTGCACATATTTAAATATAATTTATACAGGGTGTATTATAACTGTCCCTGGAAGCTAAGACGGGGCTTGAGCTGTTTATTCCTGCGAAGACTACAATAGAAAGCGCACCAGGCAATACAAATAATAATGATTTGACGGCCGGGAACCAGTGTAGAGAAATTGCAAGGTGTTTTCGGCAACTATGTTCATTTAACGTTCACAACATATAATTATAAAGGCGATTGCATACAGCAGAGACGCGAATGCTGCGATGGATGTGTGGAGTAACAGGAATGGATAGAATACGGAATGAATATGTTAGAGGAAGTCTGAAAGTGGCACCTGTGACAGAGAAGCTGAGAAGTGCTCGTTTGGGATGGTAAGAGAGTGTTAACTATGAATGTGGAAGGAAATAGAGGAAGAGGTAGACCGAAGAAGAAATGGATGGATTGCGTGAAAGACGATATGGGTAAGAGGGGAGTGAGCGAAGAAATGGTATATGATAGAAGAGTATGGAAGAAGAAAACATGTTGCGCCGGCCCCAGGTGATTGGGAGAAGGGCAGGATAATTATGAACATATAATTATAATGATATTTATGATACATTTTTATTAAGCTACTTTCTGATAAGACTGTCCAAGTCGTGAGAGCTTTAGCACTTTACCCCAATAGATGGCACTGATCACATCGACGCTCCATGTAATGTAATAGTCCTTTTAGTTCTCTAACAAAGCGTCATTAATTACTATCTTTATTTTTTGATTTGAGTGCTATAGGGATCCATAGTTAATTATAGCGGCACTTCGTCTCCAAGAACAGTCCCTTTACACCCTGTATGTCATGTTGCTCGTCATGATGGCAGCGTTTTAAAGCGACTGTATTACTATTAATAAATATATGTTAATTAGCGGAAATACGTAATAGATTGCGTGCGCTACTTGCTGCACGTTGATGTGGCTTTGCTAGAAACCTTCAATGAAGAACTAACAATGGCTGTGCAAAGTTAGAACATGATGCACAGATTCATTCACATATTTGGTAACCTGCAAGTGATAACGTTTAAGAAAATTCATGCAACAGTTCTTTTTATTGAAACGAATGCTGATGAACGCTGACAGCCCAATCAGTACAGTAGGTCTATTACCAAATCTCTTCCCTACGATGTATTCTCTGCCACTATCTCTACATTCACATCACCTTCACGTAGTTACCTCACTTATTGTCAAAAACTCTTTGACCTTAATTACTTTTTATTACCTTTTTAGGCAGACGAGCATACGGCCCAGCTGATGGTGAGTGGTTACTGTCGCCCATAGACTTCAGTTATGCCAGGGGTAGGGTCAATCTGCTGTCTACTGTTAAGTACTCTCCACAAGGGTTGTTTGAAGAAGGACATGTCATAGCGCTCCGTGGAGCTCATTCCAAATCTGGATGGTACGTGGCAAAAAAGATCTCTGGAAACGCACTGTGAATGACCGCAGTGGCTCCAGGTAGTATGGATGAACTGTACTCCGGTGGCGGGTGGTGCGATGGTAAAAAAGAGATGATGGAATCATCTCAAACACTTCCTCAGAGCAGGTGTAGGATATGTTGTGAGTCCGCACCTACCTATTTCTGCCACAAAACCAATTTTGTGTCTTCATATCAACGATACGAAGAGCTGCTATTACGAAATCTTGTTCCAAGATGAGCCGCGGTACGCTGACGTATCTACTAGCTTCATCGCATCGGGTGGGCGTGAGGTAATTACGTTTGGTAAAAAAGATATTAAACTTGGTAAATTTAGGGTTGACTTATCATTTCATCATCAAAAGACATTCGCGAGTTAAAATACGAGCACAACCTAAAAAAATGAACTATGAATAAATAATTGAATTATTATCATATTATATTACATTTTTTTGTTGTTCTGAGAGTTCAAACATCAAATTATAACAATTTAATTTTTTTACGCCGTCAAAACAAAACACCGCCCGTCCGAGACAGACTTACATCAATATTTATTTACAAAATTTCATATCTATCTACCTTTTATAATGATATCTTAAGCTACACAACATTCGTGGGCGTTTATAGCAAATTTACTTCTTCTATAAAACTTAAAAATATTTCGTACAATTTGAGCAAAATATCTTCTTTATATTGCATTTATTTTAACAGAATATATCACGTAACATATCAAGTAATGTAAATTTAAATACATTTTAAATGTAATTGCCTTTTTATTTCAAAGGAGAAAAAGACGAGCAGAATATAATTTTGATAACAATCACGGCATCCAAGCCAAACAATAAATTGTATAAACTGATTTATTGATTCTAATGTATGATACAACAGACTACTGGTATAAAACCGATTTGTACATTTTCTTTCATAATTAAGCTTTAGGAATTTGCTGAAATGTCTTCGGTGGGACGTGACGTGAATTTGTATCTTTAGTATTTGTATTTCAGTCGCGCATTAGTCTTGTCCAGTTTGAGGAGATGTTGATAATTTAATACCACTGGCACTTCGACTTCATATCCAAAGGTGGTCATATTATATAGTGACCATATACCAGATTAGTAAGAAATCTACCCACCTTTTCACTGGTGGTAGGACCTCTTGTGAGTCCGCATGGGTAGGTACCACCACCCTGAAAATTTCTGCCGTGAAACAGTAATGCGTTTCGGTTTGAAGGGTGGGGCAGCCGTTGCAACTATACTTGAGACCTTAGAACTTTATATCTCAAGGTGGATGGCGCATTTACGTTGTAGATGTCTATGTGCTTCAGTAACCACTTAACACCATGTGGGCTGTGAGCTGGTCCATCCATCTAAGCAATAAAAAAAAAACCTACATACGATAAAAACGATGCGAAGGGAGTCAGTAAAACAAAATCTTAGTGAGTATATTGAATGAGATCTAGTTTGTGAGATCGTGACTCCGTTATATTTAGAGGTACCTTTGGGATAGTGTAGTTTATAAACTAGTTATTAAAAATAAAATTAGTTATAAATAAGTTAATAACTCTCTTCAGTTAATATTGAAGTACCTAACTTATAATATTCAAAGAAGAAACTTAAAGTTAAATCTTTACTTGTGAACACAATAAGCATTGTAAAATTAATTAATTATATTCCTTTGTCATTGAGACGCAAAAGTTTCAAAAATATATTATTATTTATTAAACAGCTGATGGTGAGATGGTAAAAACGAAATCGGCTTAAACCTATCATCAGAATTATGCTCCTACAAGTAAACAAGATTTAAAAAAGATAAGAATCAATCTCAACTTGTTTCTGGTATTAGTACAGATAAAGAGACCTAAGTACTCTATATCAATGCATCAGCATTTCTCTTTTGTCTGCAACCAAAACTAGAATCGTAAAGAACCATTGGGCAGATGAACTCTCGGATCTTCTGGTCCGTCTAAGGTCAAAAAGACTTCTAAATGTGAATGCTCACCCCCCGAAATGATGTCTTGGAATCTTGTAAATATAGTTTCACACTCTCCGTGACTTCTGCGCAGCTACAATTGGCAACACGATAACACTTATTTTGTTAATTTCAAAAGTGAAGATTGTTAGTAACTGCTATCGGATGATATCGAAGTAGTGATGGGATCTTGACGTAACTAGTACTGGTATTAGAGATACATAATCATAGTACAATAAGTGAGGTGCTTTAATGATTTTGTTCTAGATTATTGAGGTTTCTGTGATGGTAATTAAATGTTTTGATTTTTATTTTAAATAAATCTGCTCGTCTCGTATTTAACAAATAATATTTATGCTTATATAACTATATTCTTATATGTATATTTATAGAGATAGTGGTGATCATTGTAACTATTATTAACAGAAAAAGTTAAAAAGTATGTGCACAAATAAATAAATAGTGGAAAAATATGTATCTATGTTGTTTATCATATACATGTAATCTTAATCTAATTAGCTTTTATTTATTTATTCAAAACATAAATATATACTTTTTCTATTTACATAAGAGTAATAACGATATTTATAATTTGTTATAAAAATATTAGAATTTCGTTGAAACAGTAAAGCAAAAACTTTATCGAGGCAATATAAGATAAATTTTACAATTTTGAAATGTTAATTTCAAAAATGTAAAATGTATATTTTGCAATTTTATACTTCTGGCCACTAATTGGTCCAGTATTGATTTTATTAAATTAGAATTTCTTTTAAATCTGGTTATACCTGTATTGCAAGCGACATATTGTCTTATTTTTAACACCGGTAAGGAGTTGCTGTTCAGATTCTGAGTCTAGTTTGATCTCCAGGATTATCTAAATTACAATCTTCTACCGAATTACTTATAAACGAATTATTTTGTTTCGATATAAGATTCAAACAATAGACAGTACTACACACAAAATATCTTTTGATTGAATTTAGGAATATGTGGTCACATCACTTTCATATCGTAGTCTTTAGCAATGGTACGACATTCTACTGGAAATCTCTCTATTGCATTGATGCGTGAATGAGTTCGCGGAGTCCTGGTTATTAAGTGAATGCCGCCTTATACTTTGTAACATGAGATTGAAGTCTTGATTGTAGTATGGAATGGTAACCCCACCATAAAAGTGGTATGCATCATTTCTTCGGGACAGAAACAGACGGGACTCCGCTGGCGAACCATGTGACCTTATCATGCACGATACCACCAATGTTCATTCAGCAACTCTCTAGCTGTAGACTTTACGATAATACTCTGGTATAAACGCGATATAACTATGTTTGCACCGTCTTCTGTAACAGTCTTCTATGAAGAACCAATTTTGAGCTATTTTGTTTTTCAAATCTTTTCAATAATCAAAATTATTTCTATGACAAGCGCTGCAAAATATGACAATCTTAATATGAATATTACCTCTTAATTTACAACCTTAATAATCTAGAAACAAGACTTAAAATCACTCACAGCATTTCGTACGTATGTTAAATAGTAGGGTGTTCATTAATTACGTCACAAATATAGACACTTGCACAGTAACTAACAACGTCCAAGTGTACTGCGTAAATGTCTTCACGCTACTGCTGGGTAGCAGGGCATCTGAGAAGGAAAGAAACAGTATGTTAATTAATTGAAAAAAAAAACACTTGAACGGTGACTTGGGAATAAAAGAATTACACAACAGTATTTGGTAGTATAAATAATTTAATTATTTATAATAAAAACACTAGAAATATTCAAAGAATCCAAGCCAAGGTCAATTTCACTATCAAAACTGTTTGATGCAAAATAACAGTGCCTAATAGGTAAGATGGTGTATCCACTACACTGGAGTTCAGAACTTTTGACAGGCATCAATTTAGGGAGCCGATAGGCATTTAACATGAATGTATATACGTTGGCATAGCCTCTCAAGGTTACCAGCTCAGGTAGGAGAAAAAATGTATCTATGACAATCTGGAGAAGCTGCTGGTGACAGGCAAGGTATGCGGGAGAAGGCACAGAGGCAGAAATCCAATGCGCTGGTCGGACCAAATACGCTCCACTCTCAATACCTCAGTCCACGTTGCTATCCACACAGCCGAGGACAGACAGGAATGGCGCAAGATGATGCAGGAGAAAGTTATTGGAGGAAGCCACGACCCTCAGCAATGAGGATTATCGACGCAAGGAGGAGGACGAACATAAAAATTTAAAGAAAGCACCATGTTAATATTCGTCGTATTTAAGCCTTCGCTGTTAGGTATCCCACAGAGTACTTAATGAGTTCCGGCGTGGACGACATGTCGGCTATCAGTACCATTTAATTGCGATCACCTTAGTTATAAAGACTTGTTACCACAGCGTGTATGTCAAGAAATAAAAAAAAAAACGTTATCGAAGCCTTCAGATTAACATGTATTCCTTTTTCAAACCGATCCAGACTTCCCCCTCGCGTTTTAAGGGTAGGTCTGCCCACTTCATCCATTTCTTCAACAAAAAAAACCTATGCTATTGCAACCTTGGAACTTAATCGAACGATAAATAATGTTAACTTAAAACGTATTTCAAGTTACGCCCGGAAGGCTACATCCGTCCTTCAAAACTCTTAAACTGCACTTAAGTCATTACATTTGGAAGGAAGCCCCCAAAAAAGGGAATTACCATATTTTACGAAACTCGATCCGAACTCACGAACTTGTTATATTTGCATAATGAATTCACTTTTTTCTTTGTTTTTATTTATTTGATTCGTAGTAATTTATCGTTCTGCTAAACCTTTAGGGGGTAAACCTTTTATGAAATTATGAGATTTTATATTAGCGCAACGGTATCTATTGGTTCAAGTAATTTTACAGCATCTGCTCGCAAAGGAGAGAGTACGCTCTCTCTACGATTTTTTTTATTGCTTAAGTGGGTGGACGAGTTCACGGCCCACCCGGTGTTAAGTGGTTACCGGAGCCCATAAAAACCTAAGACGTAAATTTCGTCACCTACCTCGAGACATGAGTTCTAAGGTCTCACTTTTTTCAGTACAACGGCTGCCCCATCCTTCAAACCGAAACGCATTGTTACTTCACGACAGAAATAGGCAGAGTGGTGGTACCTACCACGCGGACTCGTATGATCTCCTAACACCTGTAAAAAAGCTTTAGTGTTGGGCGTTGTGAGCATACAGGGTTATGAAATAATGACGTCATTGTTTACGTCCAACAACATCTAGAATGAAACTCACCATGGACAAAGCTTTCTCTTCTGAAACTCCACTAAAACAATCGCGTATAAGTATCCCAGCTCTTTGTAATGTGATTTAATTATTTCTTCAAAACAAGTATTACCTTTCATTAAATTATACACAAATTAATTGGTTTTAATAAGCGCGACATCACCGTAACGGATTAATTATTAAATGAATCATATCAGATCATATGAAGTATACAGCGGGAAAAGCTGGAATATTAATATTGTTGTATGTTTTAACATTTATGTAATAAATTTATTGTAAAAACAACGTGAGGTGCGCGATATCAATAGTTTAAATATCTTATTGACAGATATGAGGAGACGTCTTATCATTTTGATGATATATAAAAAACATCCTGCTTTTTTTTACAATAAGTTTATTTTCTATTTTATATTAGGATTTTCTATAAAAGCGTGTTTTTTAGTTTTTTTAACAATTTCTTTTCATGTATTAGATTAAGTAGCCTTATTATTTTATTTTCTAAATTATTATTTTTCGTTAAATTAAATTATTCAGATTCAATTATTTAGTGAGAAGTGCGTGTTTGGGATGGTATGGACATGTGATGAGACGAAGTGAAAATGAGGTTGGTAAGAGAGTGTTAACTATAAATGTGGAAGGATATAGGGGAAGAGAGAGATCTAAGAAGAAACGGATGGGTTGCGTGAAAGACGATATGGGTAAGAGGCGAATGTTGGAATGTTGCGCGGACCCCAGGTGAGCGGGAAAAGGCAGGAGAGTCATGATGAGTAAATTAACTATCAAATCTCTAGGTACATTAATAAAACCTAATTCCGATTTTTTTCCAGTTCCAAGTATGAATACTGGAATACCTTACGTTCCAAGTATAATACTGAATGAAAAACAGCTAAATATCTTAATAAGACCGTTTAAATTCAACAAGAAAAGTCTAATTAAACGTTCGTTTATTCAGAAACAACATTAAAAAGATAAAACTCAATTGTCGAGTTGGAACGCGCTCACGGGATTCTTCAAAAGATCTTTAAGTACGACAACTTGGAAATTGTATTATTATGATTGTTGTTACCAATTACGGTGCAAGATGAAGTTTACTTTCTTAGTGGACGACATCTAACGAACTGCGAACCTAATCATCAGACATCAACAATCTTAAATTTTTCTTTGTTTGTTTTTTGTTGAAATATGTTTTGTTTTTATTAGCGCGCTTTTAATAGCTTGGTATATTTGTGTGTAATGAAGTCTTTGAACATCATTGTTACTGATTTAGAGTCGTCCGATTAACTTAAAACTTTGCACGTGGACTAAGAACCAATCACAGTCCAATAATTTTATAACTTTATTCTAATATCCTGACTAATACCTCTTCCTCCTTGCGTTGTAAATCCTCAATCCTAAGAGTCGTGACCTCTGTGGCATTTCAGAATCCTCGGGCGGACTATATCACGTGCGGACGTAGATACCACTTTTCCTATTCTGCCCTGAAGCAGTAATGCGTTAAAAAAAAAGGTGCCCCTGCAACTTGGTGCACGTGAAAGAAGTGAAACTTCTTTTGTGGTGTGTAGTATTGTGGTTTTCTTCATTTTTATCCTTAAATATAATTTCTCTTGTAGGAATGCTGCGTATAAGAGAAACTACCTAGCTCGCTTTGTCCTTTTCCTCTCTCTACAATCGAGTGGTTTGGGAGACGCACTAGCTATTTCCCCACTCTCGCTCTTTCTAAATTGTATATGGTTGCGCTATGCGGTTGGTAGACCGAAATTGTAACGGTCATCTAATACAAAAATGAGTGTGGACTGTTTTCCAACGTTTCCAAAATGACTGAACTAATTTATCTAAAAGAGAGTGACGCGAGAGAATATGCTGCCTGTCTTCGTCAATATCTCTAGCGGGTAAATATTTAAGCGGCGTCAACGACAAAAAGTGAGCCGGAGTCAAAGCTAACGGCTCAGCTGGGTCGCCAGACAGTGTCCTACATAGCGGACGTGTGTTCATNGGAGTCGTCCGAATCACGGCTGCTAAAAGTGCTTGAAGCCAGTTGGTGTATCTTCTATCTTGCACGACACTGTGATACACTGACACTGATGTTGTATGAGAATAAAGTCTTAGGCCATCTCAATAATTAAATCACAAATAACTTATTTCTGTAATGCGGAGCGCGCGCTAGGTAACCGCCATATATTTCTTCTTTTTTTCTTTTTTTTTCTGTGTGCCCGCGTCGCTCGTACTAGCCAATCCAGGGCGCGGGGATGGGTGAGGAAGGGGAAGGGAAAAGTGTCATAGCTGCCATATTATTATAAAACATTTATCTAGAAATCTGTTATGACGCTGGCGCAACCAGTATATTTTCTGTGTAGTCGTTCCGAATTTGTCGCGAGTTCAATTTTACTCTCAACGCGTCTAAAGCAGTTTCACTTCAAAAAAAAAAGCCACGTCAATTTGTCCTAGGCGGCGTGAATCGCCTTACATACGGTGGTGTTCAGTAGGGTATGGATTTGGTCTGACCAACGCATGGGGAACTTGCCCTTCGGTCTTTCGGCCTTCCACCTTCCCAGTCAACAAGAATTTTCCCATGTTGTATCTACTCTTGCGTGTTATGTGCCCAAAGAAGTCGAAGACTCTTCTGAGACACGTGATGTGGAGTCATTTTTAAATTTGTAGTGTTGTTCGTATAAATTCATTGGTACGGTGTTCTGAATGAATTCTTGGCATTTCCTCCAGCACCACATCTCGAATGCGTCTATACGTGTTCGTTTGGCCTTTTTCATTGTCCACGTCTCTGCGCCATAAAGGAATATGGAGAATACTAGTGTGTTCATGAGGCGTATTTTTGTTTTTTAAGATATACACCTGTCAACCTAGATAAAGAAAAGTTGGGATGCGTCTTCTTATGTCAGGTTCGCATGAAGCGTTGTAGGTAATTGTGGATTCTAGATGGACAAGATTGCCCACCACTTCCAGATCAAGTGTGCCCGAACAGTTGAGGGTACCACTTCGGTAAATCAATATTATTTTAGTATTGAATCTGATTAATTTTGAGTCCCATTTTGTCACTAATGCGTACCATCCTCTCGAGAAGACCTTTTTCTTCTTGTCTTTTGCGAAAAAAGTGATATCATCGGGATAACGCACATTTGTTATCCTTTTTCCACCAATAGTTACACCTACTCGAGTGATTCGATGATTTTTCTAGCGTGCGTCTCATTATGTATTCTCCGTGAATATAAAAAGAATAAGTGACAGGACTTGCCTCACGCTTAATAATATTATTATTATTACACCAGTACCAAGATAATAAAAAAAAGGGTGCGTGTACTTATGTAGGCGCGCAAGAAGTTATACTTTATTTTTATGAAATTTATTTCTTATTATTTTATTAAAATTTTAATCAATTTCAAAAAAAACGATTAAAAAACATCCTCAAACACGCATATCGGACATCCCTTTTCTTGACATCGAATAAATTCGGTAATTCGCGCTACGGTTCGGAAAGTTTACCTGCGGCTATATTCAGACTCGCCAAGTTACGTCGATCGTATTGTAATGAGCGATTTAGTGGGCAACTTCATTCTGTTAATTTTATGTCAAGGTGCGCGCGCATCGTCAAATTTCATTCTCATCAATTTTTCATAACGCGCCTAAAGAAGTATAACTTCAAAAACACGTCACTAATATTGTCTAGCTCCAAATGAAATTCAATTGTAAATAATAAAGAGAAAGAATAAGGCACTTGGATCTATCATATATTATGTATATGGACGTCATCTTGTCTTAAATTACATTTTTAGTTTTCAAAACGAATCAGAAATAGCGTTGAACAAAATAAAAGACGCGATTTTATTGTAAGAAACATTAATTTGATATGTCGACGATATGAAAATAAAAGAAAGCTTCTAACCAACTCAAGAATTCATATATCTTGTGCCGATATTAAACTTCATATCATAAAATCGATAACACATAATTTATTGCTCTGTGAAGCGTTCTTGTAACGTACATTTTATTATCTTCCCCCTGGTTGTCGATCAAGTTGATTGAAATCGGAAACTTAATATTTGATTTTTGATGGCAAAAGCGAATGTGCGATGGAATGGTTGCTGATAGATTTTATTGTGTTCAATCACAAAAGATCTGGAAACTATAGAGTTATACGAGTGTACTCAGTATAGGTCGGCTGAAAATCAGATTAACCGAAGCCACGACTACACAGATGAGATGAGTCCTCTATGATTTTTTTAACTTTAATCTTTTCGAAGTAGATAGTTGAAATTTCTTTGTGGTAATTGAGTTAATTCTTTTTAGCATTGAACGGTTCGGTCATGGTTTGTACGTGTTAACTAAAACTGCAGCGTTCACCCTCAGTACCTATCCAGAGATCTGTGGTTTGTTACTTGTTGTTCAAATTCGCGGTATATTTTACTCCGAACATATAAAAAACAAACACACCATTTCAACAATATATAGGTATTATTATAATGTGTACAATATTAAAATATAAACCAAAAGTAAAGTAAACAACACTGGAAGATATGAATTAAAACAAAAACGCGCGCGAATCTTGCTGCATGACGTCACGGGACACCTGCGCGTTCGGGAACTCCGATCGCGTCCGATGACGCCCGAGTGCGACCGAGTGTTGCACGCTACAGATCCATCAACAATCAGACCCCGCAATGAACTCCACTGTATTGCTCGATGTTTCCACAACATAATAACGTGATTTTCTTTAAGTGCGATTTTAAATGAGGCCTTAGCGATAGGCAGCAGCTTGATATTGTCGATGCTCGGGAGTCTTCGCTGATTGGGCCATAATCAGCCTATCTTCCACCGATGACATCTAAAGTACCACACAGACCGCCTAATCAATCTAAGCAATCAGTAGACTGGAGCCCAGAAAAATCTCTACGGGATGTAGCAATTCATTTTCATTTTCCTCTTCTTTCGAAATTATTAAAAAATCAATAATATACGCCCTTGTTTTTCTGAATTTCGTTTCGTCTAAGTTTCGTAATTTAGTTTGTATTTACACCAAATTTAATTACAAGATGTTTATAAATTTTTAAGAGGATGCTTGTACCCTGAACACACGTTAAACCTTATCACGGGTGCCAGGATCTAATTACATCAGTTATTAAAATGTAAACATTTTGAAACATTAAATAGTACTTCTGTAATGCTTTTAATAAATATTGTGATTTTATATTTTCGTTAATTTCTATCTACATTTACTACTTACAATAAGACGATATAGAGGGCTTAATTTGATCTCAGCATAATTTTATTTCTTCATATCTTCACAAAATTCTTATATTGATTCGTAAAAAACAGTCATAACCTTCACACTGGACAAAGTCAGTCAGTCTTTCATCAACAAAACGAAAACCGAACCAACTAACAAAACCATACATGAAATCGCTTCATATTTTCGGTGTTTTCGAAGTTTTTTTTAAGCTATTGCATAGCTTCAATCGCGGGCCTTGAGCGCGGCGACTGAATCAAGAAATTCCGTAACGAAAATTACCTGACACCCCCACTACGCCTACTATGTAGCTCACGTTCAACACATTCACACATTGCGCTGGTGTAGTGTTTGTGAATAAGCGCGCGGCGTGACGTCATGAAAAGTCTGCCCATCTCTCTCTCACATGGCCTAGCTTATGAGTGTGAAGGAGACAGTTAATGTTTTGCTTTTGTTAATGTTTCTAAATATAGCGTAGTCTTATTTTTATTATTGTTTTAATATTAAATTATAATTGTCTAATTGTAATTGCATAAGTTGATAAAAAATGCTTTGCAATAGCTTTACCGCGGCAGTCCCCGAGTGCCACATATCTTTTTTTTTTAATGAAGGTTTTCTGGATTTCGAGGCGTCACCCTCAAAGTTTGCACAAAAATTTTTAACGCGACGCGTTATACTTATATCTACCAATTTATATAGCATTCTGGCTGCCCTCGACAAAGGGGAGGCCAAGATGCTATTATAGACACCAACATCCATTCTGGTTGAAAGCTAAATTATTCAAAGATAACAAACTAATTGTTTTCGAAGGTACAGATGCAAAAATAGCAGTTAAATAGCACCTTGTTTTTCTATGTTTGGTTTAAAAACAATACTCACTATTTTTACTAAACATATAAGTAGAAATATGAGGTCGACTCGCGACGTACAGTCGCACGGACATCGACCTCACGTTTGGGGGTCGCGTGGGCACCGTCGCGCGGCACATCAAAGCGAGATACCCCCGTTGTGTGGGATAGTCATCAGGGTACACGTGTAGAGTTCGCCAGGAAGCACTAAGACCATCCCCGTCAGCCCCCGAGACGTGATTTTCACTGGTGATGAGCGGATCCTGTGAAGGAACGGTGAAATTAGTTTGAAATTTAAAATTCAGTTTTAAAATATGCACATAGATTCGGTTGTTAAGAATCTGAGAAACAAGTCGACTACAGGGGTCAAAGTACTGATAAATGTCACTCGCTTTGCAGGAGACCGTAGATCTCATTCGCCTGTTGTAATAACATCTCAACTCAGCACAAGCGCCCAGTATCTTGAGATTAGACAAGCGGATTCCTGTGGGTTAACATTGGACTGGGCGTCGCTGCGTCCTTTCAGTCATAGAGGCATTTTTTAACTTCTCCAATAAATTCAAAAAACGTCCTGTTTTCTTTATTGTTTTAATGTTATCGTGCCAACTAAAATCAGCACAAGCAGCCATTATTTTCGGCTTCCAGGTGAAGAATTTTGTGGAATATTGAGCTCATATTAGATAGACTAGAGGTCCCGCAGTAGTCGAAATTCGACTATAATTAATTGGAATTGTAAGTTTGAACACTATTACGATTGTATTTTATACTTCTGTAATCACAAATTTCGCCAAGACTACACTATAAAAAATATTAACAAAGACAAACAATATTTAATCTCAATTTGACAACAGACGTCAAGAACAAAAGTTTGACAATAAATAGTATGCATGCGTGTGTGCGTCAAATACATGGTATGTAGTGTGTGTAATGTTTTCTTTATTGATTTACTGTATCTTTTATGCATTATTTAAAAAAAATATCAGCATTGTGCAGTTCTTCTCCATATTCTCTTTAATTGTGGAAAATTTCATACTACTCCGTCCGCGCAATTTTCGTAAAAAGGGATACAAAGTTTTTGCTTCACGTATTAATATATAGATAGTTATAAAGGTCGTAAAAAATATATACCCTTGTCTATTCACATTAGTCCCTACTTGCAATTCTCAAGGATTCAGCTGGTTTGTCTATTTATGTTAATAAAAAAAACTAACAAAGCCTGAGGAGCACATTACCCTGAAGCGTATGGGACATTCTCTCAATCCTTTCTCCCTTAATATTTGTATCGCATGTCCGAAACCATTGAATCGAGGCGCGTCCCTATTAACATCAGTTACGGGTCATTACATTTCGTACACAATCCACTAGCGAATCTATTCGAAGTGAAACACTGAGGAGCTTCCGCAGTTACGAGCTTTTTAGGAGGGCTTATTTCGCAATACGTAGTTTATCTATGTATCTTTTACTGAAAATGGTTGGACTTTCCTACGAATGTTGTTGACTAGCGGCCCGCTCCGGCTTCGCTCGGGACTTTAACAAAAAGTTCAACGATATTTGACGTTGTTTTATTTTTTAAATAAAATAACACTTGTTGCGCCAAAAATAATAATAGTTAGACATATTCTGTCGCGACACTTTTTTTATATAATAATGTTTTGTACACAGTCGTAGTACATTATTTTATTCTATCATCAATAATTTTCGCAGGGCACGCGATGTAAAAGATATTTTAGGTAATTTTTTTACACCTTGGGTTACATTATTAGAGTTTTAGTAAGGATCCCTAATTTTTTTCAAAAAACATTATAGCCTATGTTACTCGGGAATAGTGTAGCTTCCAAACACTTAAAGAATTTTTCAAATCGGGTCAGTAGTTTCGGAGCCTATTCAATACAAACAAACAAACAAATCTTTCCCCTTTATAATATTATAGTATAGAAGTATAGATAGATGATCCGATTTTACCCTTAAAGTCACACAGCACGGTAGTGGTCACTAAACCAGCGATAAGTAGCATGTCTAAAATTCGGTGCTCCTAAATTCATAAGCCACTAATCGCGATCATTAGTGGGAAGGTATGTATCGAATTATGTGGCTTACTTCTGAACCACAATTCGTTCAAATCCAAACCTAAGCCTCTCTGTCTGAAGGTGGTAAGTATTCACTTAGTGGTTTCTACGGGATCTATAATTGCCCGCTTAATACCAGACCGACCGTCAGCTCATTTACCCTCAAAGCTATCAAATTAAAATACACCATAAAAACCAGTAAATCATTTTTTATTGCCTTTGTAGGCAGACGAGCATACGGCCCACCTGATGGTAAGTGGTCACCGTCGCTCATGGACGTCAGCAATGCCAGGGGCAGAGCCAAGCCGCTGCCTACCATGTGCATTATAATTGAACGATACCTATGTACGTTGTTTGTAAGACTCTTATTAAACGAAAAGCTTGTCTTTGAAATTCTCGGAGTAAAATTCTGAAGCGCTACCATAAATTCTGGTAACAAGCTGTGGACTTTATTTTCTCGCACAGCATCTATTACGTATGGTAATGTTCTCATTTTGAAAGTGAATATGCTTTTGTTACCTATGTTAGTAAAGTTACACAACACTGGATACACTATTTCTACCCGTTTTTATTGGGTGGGCAACTATTTATCCGTGTAATGAATGAATGATTGATTTATTTTATTTCAGACAACAACAAGTCCATATGTTTTTTTTTTTTATTGCTTAGATTGTTGGACGAGCTCACAGCCCACCTGGTGTTAAGTGGTTACTGGAGCCCATAGACATCTACAACGTAAATGCGCCACCCACCTCGAGATATAAGTTCTAAGATCTCAGTACAGTTACAACGGCTACCCCACCCTTCGAACCGAAACGCATTACTGCTTCACGGTGGAAATAGGCGGGATGGTGGTACCTACCCGTGCGGGCTCCCAAGAGGTCCTACCACCAGTGATTACGCAAATTATAATTTTGTGGGTTTTGATTTTTATTATACGATGTTATTCCTTCACCGTGGAAGTCAATCGTGAACATTTGTTGAGTACGTATTTCATTAGAAAAATTGGTACTCGCGATCGAGTACCAATTACCAAAAATTGCATCGCTACATACGAATGCACCGGACGTCTTATCCTTTAGGCCACGACGACTTCAATGTAATGAAGGAATGAATGAATGATTTATTTTATTTCAGACAGCAACAAGTCCATGTGTTTACATAGTATCATTGAAACATACTTAAAGTTAACAAAACCAATCAAATAAAAAAGATACATTTATTAAACATAATTATCAGTTCAATACATTTCAAATATTCCATTCAATTGATACTTACCTCGAACCAACCATTATTATTATTATTATTTAGTCCGCCAGTGAACCATGGTACAATGATTCAAGTACCGACCAGTCATAACGGTCTGATAATTAAATCTTTCTACGTAATTTTCCCCAACTTTGAGACGTCAGATTGACTTGAAATTTTTTATCCTTATTAAGAATACCTTAGTATCAGTGAAGAAAAATATTGAAATTTTAGTTCGGTGAAACTTTTTTTTTTCAGGATGGGTGGACGGTCTCACAGCCCACCTGGTGTTAAGTGGTTACTGGTGCCCATAGACATCCACAACGTAAATGTGCCACCCACCTTGAGATATAAGTTCTAAGGTCTCAAGTATAGTTACAACGGCTGTCCCACCCTTCTAACCGAAACGCATAACTGCTTCACGGCAGAAATAGGCAGAGCGATGGTACCTACCCGCGCGGACTCATAAGAGGTCCTACCACCAGTATTTGGTTTTCAACCTATTATTAAAGCTACGTACATCATCTTATGGTTCATTTTAGATTACGTGATTCGAAATAACGCAGAAACGAAGCTAAGGCTTTAAATTCTATTGACAATTTGATAGTGCACCAGTCTCGGTCCAAGATAACGAAGAGCACTTTAAATGATGATCCAACGATCTGTATTTATTTTGATATGAATGTATTCCTATTATAAAACTGTATGAGAACTGTGTCTGTTCTTTTTGGAGTTTACTCCTTAAGAATCTATTTACATATATAGGCCCGGGGTATGAAAATTATGGGGACCAAAATCGTACTAGAGAGTATAGCATGTCACACGAAATGCGTTATGCGCCTGATTGGCTCCTGATTGCGTGATGCGTGCGCGCGCCAATCAGGAGCCAACGCGCGGCCGCGTTATCGCAGGTGACGCCGGGCTGCTGCGCCGGCAGTCCGCCACAAAGCCTCGTACTGATCGCGCGTTTCTCTCATTATTGTATTTTCATATATTTGTTAGTCGTTTGTTTTGTGTCTCGTTAATTTGTTAATAATCTGTAGTGTATCGTGTTGTCGTAATATAGAACTATTTCTCGTATTGTTTCGTTTAATTTACCGACATCGTTTTGCTTGTGGCCGGACGCCGTTCGGGTTCGATTCCTGAACGTATCAACTGTTAGTGGGTTGATACCCGAATATAACCCGCTACAAATCATTTATTAATAAAGCTTATTAAATATAAACAATTCCTTCTATCAGTGAATGGACAACTTATATATTAATTGTAAAAGTGAATTATATAGACTTACTTAATTACCGCATCCACGTGTTCCGCAACTCCCGGATCATTCTCACTAGAATACGTAACTTCCATATTTTACTGTATTCAACTGACACAAATTTATATTTATATCCAGTAAACTCCAGTCGTGCGTCGGAGCGGACACACACACTTTTTAGACCGAGTAGTTCATGGTTCACCCTGTACCTGTACTCTTCCCTTACCGAATCCCATAGACAAGGGAATAATATTGTAAACTATATACTTAGTAAATAAACTGTCAAACAGAAATCCGTTCTCAGCAGAAATAGGGAGTAACTATATGTATATTTATCCGGGTCAATTTTATATTCCTCACCGCTAATTGCAGATTTGACCAAATGACATGCTATTTCTTACCCAGATCTTCAAACCCAGATCTTCAATGGTTTTTAGGTGAGTGGATGAGCTCACGGTCCACCTGGTGTTAAGTGGTTATCGGAGCCCATAGGCGTCTACAACGTAAATGTCGCCACCTACCTTCAAATGTGAGTTCTAAGGCCTCCGTTTTTACAATAGGTACAACGGTTACCCCTTCAAACCTTTACGGCAGAAATAGGCAGTGGTACCTACCCGTGTGGACTCACAAGAGGTCCTACCACCAGTAATTACGCAAATTATGATTTTGCGGGTTTGGTTGGTAATAA